ACACTTTTCTCTTTAATCTGTGATATTCTAGATCTCTAGGCGTCTCGTTACTCAAACATTATAAGAAAAACAAAATGCAAAAAACTCGTTACGGAATTTCACTCCGGTAGCAGAGATGGCTGGCCAGAGCGAGTACGTGGTTAGTAAGTGTGTAGAGAGAGTTCCAGCAATTGGACGAAAGAACCGGTGACAGCTTAGTCTTCTGTTCAGAGCTGTGGTGGAAGATTAGTGAAAAGATGAGGTCACTCGGCGGTTGGTCAGCACTCTATACCGATAACGCTAGCCGAGATATGCGTCCTTCTTCTTCTTGCTTCTTCCATCTTCATCGCACGGTTAGTTAAGCAAATAGTATAATGTTAGTGGAAGTCATATTTTTCTCTTACTATTCGACTGCATGTGGCAGCAGTAAATGGTAGCTTAAATTTAAAAGGCAAAGTGATTTAATCTATTCAAACTTTTTCACAATGTATAGTGAGAAAGTGATCGTTATTACGTCTGTTCTTTGAACTCATATGATAATCAAAATAATGAACAATTTTTACACTTAGCATATATTTATCATTAAACGTTTCAGTAAAAAACCAGTCAAAGATTAGAATTTTATCTTGTCCTTACTTTTTCGTTTGAATTTCTTAAATCATCATAGGTGTATTTTGAACTTAACCATTCGGTGACGGTTTTATCTGAGGTATCATCATGAACTTTGGGAGAATCTAAATACGATAAGTGATAGAACGATGAGTACAACAATTTCATTGAAAAACAAACCATTTATTGATGAATTCGTTCGTTGTCTTTTACAAACAAATGCCAATATTACGAGTAAAATTATCAGAATTAATCCAGCAAATATTGAACCAAATAGTAAAAAACGTTCTGTTTGTGTATCTAAAGCAACAATAATTATGCTAGATTCTACACTTACAAAATGGCATATGTTTTAATACTTACCAGATACTTCAAGTGCATATTGTATGGTCGTTGTTCCATAATCGTTTATAGCCGTACAGTTATATTTTCCTACATCATTTAGTGTCACATGTTTTATATTCAATGAATAAATTATTGATTCTTGATCGGTGGAACGATTATCGTCAATGGAATACTTGTTACCGCTACTCGAAGTTCCTTCGACCAAGTATTTACCATCACGATGCCAATAAAGTTGCTAGAAAGGATGATAGAGAGAGAATAAAAATATAAGTTATACGACAATTTTACATTACTCATACATGAATTCTTGGATACGCTTGAATTATGCACACCAGTGTAGTTTCGTGACCGACATGAGCTAAGCGAGACGGTTCAGAACGAATTAATGGAGGCCCTAAATAAAGGTTTGATCGATAAAAATTATATTTAAAAGATCTATAATAAGAAATTTCTTACGTTTTTGAACGAGTTTTATTGTTCTTTTAACTTGTCCAAATCTGGAATGATAAGCGATACATTGATAACTTCCTAATTGATCTTCTTTTAAATTTTTTAAATATAATAATGATTGAGATTGACCAGATAGTATTTGATCATTAAATTTCCAACTTATTTTTGATCGTGGATTTGAATCAACTAAACATTCTAGTGTTGTCATTTTTTCTAAGTCAACAATATGATATGTTACAGATGATTCATTAATTACACGAGATTGACCATTAGACTTCTCGTAAAATGATGGTTTATCTAACCGAAAAAAGAAAATGTTTACATGTATTGATATAATCGACGTTTAAATGATAGTTATACATAATCTAAATACTTACAGACAACATCTAATCGTAGTGTTGAATTTTTCTTGCCAACCGTATTGAGTGCTTCACACGTAATTTCATTGTTGTTCATTGATCTCAAAATGAATAATTCCATTTCAGATCCATGTTGATTTTGTATCATTACTGATCCATTGTACCATCTAGAATAAATGATATGTTTGAACTGAGAATAGTTGAAATAATTTTCTCAAAAACCGTATGTACCTAAATTGATAAACGGACGGTCTTGCATTTACTTCGCATAGAAGTTTAATAAAAGTATTTTCAATAATAGGAGTCTGTTGTTTAATAGCAAGACGAACATCTGGAATAACTAAAAGTAAAAATCAAAAATACTTATGTATTTAGAATGTATTTATTCAGTCACAATTGACAATAATTTACAATTGACAATAATTTGTTCTTTAACGATAATATTTTGATTAAGTGCTGTTGTTTGTGCAATACATTCAATTTCTTGACCATTCCAATTACGTTCAGCAATTACCGTTAAATTAGAGACCTATAAGAAAAATATAAAATATAAATGAGAATAAATTTATATTAAAAATGACTATTAACTCTTAACTTACACTATTTCTTAAATATTCATTCATTATTTGTGCATAATCATTTTTAGCAATATATTTAATATGTAACGGTAAATTCCAAGTAAGTTTGGCTTCGGGAGATGATTTTATACTTCGACAAACGATATACGATTGTTTATTTTCAACTAATATTAGTGGACTATCGATTGATACTCTTTCTGGTGGTTCTAAAAATAAATATAAACACATTTTCTTTTAATTTTATTTCCAAGGAGAATTTTGTTTTTTCTTCTTCTTAATACGAAAATTTCATAATGGAATAATTATTGCCAGTTTTTGATATGATTGAATGGTAGAGACTGTCTCATTCTCATCTATTTAGCATATGTGTTTAAAGACGATTTTATCAATCTGTTTTATATTGATCATCTTTTGAATAGTAGTAGTGATGAACTGATAAATATCCATGTTATGTCACTCTCAGTATGTGTATGTACGTATGTTCATTCTCCAACTGTTTTTGTCTGTTTATAAGTGGCTATTCGTCTTTCATTCTAATGATAATACTGTACATTTGTGATTAGCCCTAATCATCTTTAAAGTAAACATTCACCATCACACGCACAATCAAATAAAACTTACTGTCTAGAATAACAACATAGTAATTAGATAACTTACGTAAAACAATAAGTTTTGATTTTCGTGAAACGGCACCCGAATTTTTAGCACCTGGACGAATTTGACATTGATATGTACCAATATCTTGTAATGATGCATTTATAATTTGAAAATGATGTTCACCTAAATTATAATAAATTATTATATAATTTAAAACTATTTTCTACTATTAATAATTTTAAATACCTTTAAATCTATCACCCGTAATTTCATATCTTGGATATGATGGTAAATCTCTTGTTTTTCCCAATGTACAAAAATCATTTTTACACCATGTTACTTCAACTTTTGGATTTGTTGTTTTACATGGAATTAATACCGTTGTTCCCGATTTGACTTCTAAATCACGTGGCTGTTGTAAAAATGCATCTTTCAATGAAGAACCACCTAAAAATAAAAAAGTATTAAGAATATTATTAGAGAGATATTTTCGTGTAGAAATTATTATCATTTATATATATATACCAGAAATGAATACTGCAGTAATTAAAAACAAAATAAACATTATTATCACGGATCATCCATTCATTTGCTGGTGTCTACATTTAACAATTAATAATCGAATTTGTCTGAAAATATAAACTCGTTTTGTCTCATCTAAAAATGAGAATAAAAGATACAATTTCACATGATACATTCCAGTGAAAATATATGAACTCAAAATTTAACGCAATCATTAAATATCCTTAATCTTTGATGGTTGCTGTTAGACATAGTCATTTTTAATCCGGTTAAAACAGGTCATTGTATTGTATAAGTGACCTTTTTACCTTTGAGAAAAGAGTGAAAAAAAGCGACCAAAAGGCTAATAAATGAATTGATTGTTACTGGAAGGTGCATCAAGAAAATGTAAGAATGAAAACCTACGGGTCAAGGTACATACTTGAATGAAGGCTATTTATAGTATTTCTCAGTACTATGACTTTTTGTCTCGCTCAATTCAGACATTGTTGACTTGATAATTATTTTCTATATTCTTTTATACAAAATGACACACACACAAATTGTAGTTTAATTAACTTGAGGCTTAACTGAGATAAACATCAACGAGTATAGTAGTAGTCATTAATTGTTCCTGTTTTGCATATTGATGTGTATCTGAACAAAAATGAAGGAGGAGAAGAGAAGAAAGAAAAATGTTGAATCAAGATTATATTTTAATAGATGTGGATTTAATCTCTCCATCTTTTCCTCTCTCTCTGTCTCTCTTTCTCCACGGGCTTGTCTACAATTAATGAAAACTCATCACCACAATGTCCTCAATTAGACAAAATGGTGTCATTTTACTTCTGTATTTTTAACTCACTGAGATAATCGAGGGTAATTTCACAGGCATGTGAAACTGACGCGTTGACCATCTGTAGTTGATAACAATGGGAAATTAAAGAGAATCAATAACTAGACAACAAGCACACTACGTGAGAGTTGCGAATACGGTGCGAAACTCTTCTGACAAAGAAACAGAAAACCAAGAAAAACACGCTGATGATCCACAAAATCAATTACGAAGAATGAGATTATTGGCTACAAGCCAACTTGAAAAGGTGTTTTCTTCACCCTACATGGTGTGTGTACACTCACTACAAAATTTCTGTGTAACCGGCATATTCATAGTCCGCTTCATATTATCGTTTTTCTATTCTTCTTACACACTTTTTAGATCTTGAACAAACAACGTGAGAAAATGACACCAAAAAGTGTGTTGAAAAAACACCACGTTGATTGCTAGAATACGGTTTTCTGCTTCGCACCGCATCGAAAAAACAGAACTGACAAGTTGCAATAACCACAACAACGACTACTGCTCTATGTAGATGAACGACTCAAAAGTCACATTCCAAGCTATAATCAGTTGAAAATGGTTTCTAGTGGAATTGTCTGTTAACCCTTTGTTTAAAGATTATCAAAAAACACGGTATTATTAGAATTCTGCACTTTTTACATATTCAGGAGGATTTCGTGTAAACGAGTTCATTCGAGTGTAAATCTACAAACGAGTTTCTCTCAACTATCTATATATGATCATATAAAAGCAACAAGACATTATTCACTATACCTTTTGATGTACAAATTATGAAATCGGGCATGTAATGAATGGTGTATGTGTGTATGTATATATATGCTTTGTACAATAATTTTTTTTATTGTGCACTGATAAAACACTCTTTATCAAGTTGTTACCTTTCTCAACAAAAAAAAAATGTGTCAGCACAAAAAGAAGAACAGTTGAACATACGTATAAGAGGAAAGTTAAAATAACGAAGGTACGGTTATCGTCAAGCGGCACAAAAACAATCTTGAACATAATCGACATTTTGACGAGACATTAAGTGCTAAAGAGAGAAGATTATATAATATGTCAAGAAGACATTTTAGCACTCTTCCGTTTTCATGGAAACGTTTAAAAATTCAATGATAAAACAGCTGTAGTGTCTGATCAAACTTTTGAGGATAAAAATACAGGGAAAATGGTAAACGCTTAATAGCGTTAATGACTTAGCACGTTATTCTATGTACGCGTATCAATTCTGTTTTTACACTAGTATCGCGGTCAACTATGCTGACGAACAGAGCAGATTTTGACGATATGCGCGTGTATTCATCTACATTCTAGTAACTTTACTTAACTTTGCGACTAAATAGGTATATCAGACAGATCACTCTGTATTTGTTTTAACTTCCGTTAGATTAATCATTTTTTTGTTCTATTTTTCATGCGCTATTTAACCAGTTGAACGTCAACTAGTCTCTTAAAATGCATGAAGGAGTAAGAGATGTCAAAAGAATTTTAAAATAAAAAGTGTTCTCGATAAAGAATGTTACAAATGCATAGTAAAAGGATACAATTGACGTGGAAAATGATTGTGTGTATGTGCATATTGATCTGGATGTCTTTATTTTACAAGAGAAGAAATTTTTTGATTAAGAAACTCTTGACTTCACTGTACTACAGTAATCTTTAGAGATTTGTGTATTTAACAAACGATATGTCATCATTAATTTGTTTTCAGTTTCATAATGACTTTTTCTTCTTACTAATGTTTGTTACATAACATACACACACACACACGCACACTTTACACATTTTTAATTATAGAAAAACTTTATGCTAAAGACACGAAGGTGTGATCAAACTGAAAAAGGTTCACAAAAATCTCTTTTATCCTGCACGCGTATTCTTCGAATTCTCTTGATGATTTTCTCTTGATCTTTTTGACAAGTTTATTTGGTATTTATCAGCAGAAATATATAGAAGTATATAAAAGTCTCAAACTTAACAGAAAATAATGTCCCAAAACTTTGTCAATAGATTTAGCAGCTTTTCTAACACATAGATCCGTTGAGTAGGCAGAAATGAACCCTAGCAAACATCACCTATAAGCAAAATCTAGATACATTACGTCTGTAATCGGGCAATAAACGACTAGTTGCCATCTAGATTACTAGTTGGAAAAGGGACTTTTAACTAGATGCGTCTGCATGTGTAACTAGCAATAGTTAAATCGATCGATTATCGGGCGATAAATCGATAGTTGCAACCAGGAGAAATCTGACAGTCACCCGATTACTAGGCTTCCGGTGTCGTTACCCAATAGTTGCAATCGAGTAAAAATCTAGTAATCTAGATGAATCGGGCAACACTAGATTTTTTTTGACGATTGGGAGCAATGATATATGACACAGTCGAAACCAATACTGACGACTGACCTTGCCTGCCAAGTTTGATCAAGGATTTCTGATCACAATTCTGTCTGAAAAATAAGACCAAATCAGTTAGCTATTCTTTGCACTTCAAAGGAGAAAGTTTTCACGCTAGACTCTTACCTTCTCTCCAAGTTCCATCGATCATGAGCGAAGTATATTATTATGATGGTAACTCTCTCTCTGCCTTTCTTTCTCATTACATAGCTCTTGCATGTGAAGAAAAGAAAGAAGAGTGTGACAGTTGGAAGAGTAGTGTGTATTTGAACGATGGTTAAAATGAGAACTTTTTCCTATATCCCCACCCGATGTCAACGTGAAGAAGTGAAGTGCATGCGCGTTCTGTCAACGAGATAAAGATGTGCGACTGTGTAAGTGGAAAGAGGATGTTATTGTCGATGATGGGTAAATGTATAGGTAATAAAAGTGAGATATGGACGCTCTATAATGAGCAAATGGAAGTTTGGCTGAAGAACGTGAGTGTGGTTATGTGAATTCATGTAAAATCAGTCTGGAGTACTAACCACTGTAGTACAACCAGTGAATTGACACCAAAGTCTGACTAAAGTAAATCATCGCTCTCTACACATCGAAACCAAGCCACAGTAAACAAAAACAAGGCCGCCCAAAATTAATCTATCCTGACTACATCGCAAAGCTGCTCAACAATAATACTCAGCCATCGGTCGACGAAATGAGAAAAGCTGCCACCAACCGAGAGAATTGGTCTAAGATTATTGTCGCAAACCCAGATTGCAAACCAGCCGAATGATGATGATGATGAAGTAAAATCATTAATAAACTCAGTCAGGTTTATCTGTAGATGTGTTAATTATTTCGGAACGTCGAAATAATTACAAACGGTAATTCGGTTTTAATCACGTTTCGCTTTACATCCAAAAAGGATGTGTTATTATGCCCCGTAATTCGTTGTATTAATTTTTCTCCACTATTTCTGTTCTCAATTCATCTTTCTCTTTGTTCCTCGAAGGATCAATAACAATTTCCACTTTCTCATATCAAATGTGCCCATCAATGAATATAGATTGTTTTAACGCTCCCAGATCCCTCTCTAATTCCTATCCTGTATGTTGTTATTATCAGCATTATATAGGTCGATGCTTACCCGTTGAGTTGTTGTGTTTTTTAATACATAGATGATTTTGAATTGAATTTATATTAAATTTTCTTTTCTTTTTGGTACTCTTAGCTAGTCGACCGTTCACTTTTTGTTTCTTTGACACAAAAGAGAAACCTCAACAAAAGGATATATATATATATAGTCGGTCATGATTTTAATCATTAAAAATCATGTTCTCCTCATCATACACATTCTTCTTTCAAAAGACTAGCAACATACACACTCATTCTATTATGAGAGAGAGGGTCTGTTTATTTTTTTCCCTTCAAAATATAACAGTTCGCGATATATAGCAAAGACTATGGGAGCAAAATTAAGCTCTCTACAGTTTATACACCTTTCTTCATAGCGAGAATAATATTACTATTTTAGTAAAAGTTCTAATATTTATAGATCTCATATTGAAATTCTCATAAAAATCGATTCCTATTGATAATTCATTTCTTTATTAAACATCTAGTCTATTAGTTTTATTTCTGCTTAAAAAAAAAGAAACTTTAAACACGCATATCCAAACTATCTCGAAGCTGTATAATAATAATTATCGATTGTATATGAGTGAGTATGTTTATTTTAGTTTTGTACCTCGATGGCATAAAAATAACAATATTTATTCATTTTTCTCAAGTGTCACACATAATAATTATGTATGTTTTTCTTAAAACTAAATTTGTTAACTTTCTCTTCTTCTTTTAACAGCAACTACATGTTCAATGAGCAACTTGTACACACTTCACTAACGTGTTTATATTAAGTATGATTACACAATGGAGTAGCATGAAAAAAATGTCAATTTTCGAACCCGTTAAATGTACACTACTGTCTCTTCTCTTCTCGGGTTCATTTTCGTTTCTTTTATGTTTATTTTACGAATCACCTTATATCGATTGTTCTTTACTTTTTTTTACCTAACCTTCGATTTTTAAACGATGTTCATCAATAACCTTCACAAACGATATTAGTTTTCGTTTCTTCTCGTTGACAACTTGCAGTACACCAAAAATATATAAAAAATAAAAATTCCCATGGAGGTCGTGATGAAGATAAAGTTTTCTTAATATATATGTTCAAAAGATAAGTAACCATGCGTATCCGTACAGTGATACGTCAACGAAATAAAATCAAACAATTAATCATAAAATTAGTTATATAATTTTCATCGAGCAATAAAATATACACTATAATAAATCTTCGATAAGAGATCACACAGTAGCACGCAGTTAAATAATAATATCGTCCTTTGCTTTGATGTTCAGTAACGAGAGCAATAGAGATGAAAATATATACATACCGTCATTTTCAAATAATTAGAGTATAGAAAAGCAAATAATATGACCAAAAAAAAAAGAACAAATTCTTTTTTTATGAAAATGTTTCAATGTCAGTAATATCGCTATTTTATGCAAGAATAAACAAATTACTTTCTAGTACGCAAGCTAAATTGTAATCGACATACGTGGTCGAAAAGAAACCAAGATGTCGTTTAATTTAATTGCATTACTCTCTTGAACTAAA